CTTAGCCTTTCTCTTTACCATTTGGTCTAATGGTTCGACCATGGCCGATCCCTTTCCATTGGGAAGAGAAAACTTTTCTTGACTTCCAATGTCGCCATTGTCAATGTCCATGGAAATTTGGGAAGTAGATCTTCCAATCAAATTTGCATTACCAGTGCGCCAAATCATTTCTGATTCAACAGCAATTAGAAAATAGGTAAGATCGATAAGGGTCACGTTGTGGTCTGTCATATAGTAATCTTTAACGAACTCACTATATGACTTAGGAAGTGATTGAAGAACCAAGTTAACAACCAACTTCCTCGAGACAACGACACCTAACATTCCCAACTTGTCAATGTGTGACTTCATCTCCAAGACGTGTGCACACACAAACTTTCCATCTTTGTGTTTACTAGCCAATAGGGTTTGAGTGACCTTGAACTTTTCAAGTCGACGAACATGTGGGTCAGGGAGAATAATTGGAGGAGGTGGAGGAAGAGAAGTTCCACTACAACATGAAGAAGGGATTAATCTTTCACCTCGATCGTCTTGTGGAAAACCATCTTTATAAGGAAAGTCTTTTCCAAAAGGATAAGGTAGACCATAGTTGTCAGAACTAGTCATCTACAAGGGAGAAATTCAAGTTAATTGATTTAAGTCCTTAATATAACACCCAAATGAAATATTAAGGCTAGGACCCAACACAATATTCTACAATCCAGAAGAGTGCCGTAATCCAATTGCAAAATATTTGAAGGTAGGTAAATGACGATTTACCAATTTCCACCATGAAAAACGAAAATGAATATTAGGTTTTAAATGAATTGAAATTCCTAGAATCTTTTGAGATTCATTGAAATTTTCAATGGCATGTTTAATCTCGATTATGCCCTTCAAGTTTGTGACTGGGATACCGAGGATCACAAACAATGTGTGAATAACCATGCAAATTAGCTTGGTACTCTCGATGTCATTAATCACCTAATCAATGTGCCGGTTAACCACACACGCTCCATTGATCAATGATAATTTACGAGAAACCCATTGCCATCCTTCATTAGTCCACATTAGTGTGCCGGTTAACCACACACGCTCCACTAACTGACTAATAAGGTGCAATGTGCAATTTCATGGGTTAGCATCAAATTCACATTTTTCCTAAAGTAACTAAGATTGAGAATTTATAAAGTGTTTAGTTACTTTGTATTTCATTATACTTTTAATGAGGATTTAAATGTCCTATCAAACCCGTTCGGCTAACGACCCTCCACTAGTCAAGAGTGCGGTGGGTAAGAATGGATACCCAATGACGATTATTTTACAGGCCGCTTCCTTAAACACCCCTTATAGACCAGCTTCGTGAATGAGGTCTACTAACGGTAATACTGACTTTTTAACTTATACATATATAATATATTAAACTTTTAATTTTATATAATATAAGGGTGTATTTTAAACTTTTAAAATACTTTGTGGTTTAATCTATTAATTAAACTATACTCTTAATTTAATTAAACTTAAGCCATGTGAACGTGGATTTATTAATCTTCTCTTTTAATTAAACATTTAATTAATTTAATGAAATCCATAAAGATGTAATTTGAACTATTCAAAACATCAAAGTGCTAAATATAAAAATTCAAAATTAAAACCTATTTAATTAATTTTTAAGTTATGAACCCAAGAGGTGCATCTTTTCAAACCTTTCATTTACAAGAGTTTTAGAATTCAATGTTTCTTGATTTGAGACTTTTCAAATACCAAAACTTGAGGGCAAGTTTTGTAACTCTTTTAAAACCTTTGAATTCCAAACTTGATGACAAGTTTTGTAACTCCTTAAAAAACTTTTTGAGTTCCAAAACATGATGGCAAGTTTGTAACTCTTCAAAAAAACTTTTAGAATTCCAAAACTTAAAGACAAGTTTTGTAACTCTTCAAAACATTTAGATCAAATTTTAAACTAATAAAATTATCATATATTTTTTATTTCTCACAAATTTGACCTAATGCAACTCTTATAGTAAGATAGTTTCAAACTCACAATTATCTTAAAATTTTGACAACTATCTTTTAATTGGATGGGATAACCATTACCATATCAGAAAAAACAGATTTTATGATACAAAAACAGTTTAAGGTAATGATGCAAATCCAATTCTGGCCAAAAACCCCAAAAAACTGCAAACATGCTATCCGACTTGTCGAGTCAGATTATGGACTCGTCGAGTTCACTATGAACTCATCGAGTTCATGTATGGAATCGTCGAGTCCCTCTTTTAGAGTGCAGTTTTTCGACTTTTTCTAGCTTTGAACAATTAAGCAAAGCATCTATATAACAGAAAACACCCATGACTCTGATACCACTGTTGAGTTTTATGTACTCTAACATCCCTATGGTGCACATACAATCCAAATGCTTTGGATCTAAGTTTTCTCTAATTATACATGCAATAAAATTATCTAAAGCATGAAGCCTACAACTAGCATACAATTCTGACATTTGCAACATAAAATCAAGTTAGATGAATACCTCTATATTGTAGCTTGTAGAATTTGGAATTTCAAGAGCTTAACACCTCAAGTGTGATGTCTCAAATGGTTCACAAAACACCACCAACAACTAGAGAACTTGAGATAAAAGATGAAGGCACTCAAAATCGGCTATAGTTTCTCTAAGAAGACTAGTGTGTACGATTTTAGGCCAAGGGGTTACATATATATATATATATATATATATATATATATATATATATATATTTATATATAGTGTATAATCCCAAGGGTTATGTGTAAACCCTAATTCTTACACTTAGGCTTGTAATGGACTAACACTTTATGGATCCTTACATAAGCTTAGCCCATCACTAATCAATCATGGATTATTAGCCCAACCTATATGTATCATTGATTTACACAATCAACCCCCTGTATATTTAATCAGCATCTTTTGATCACTAAATTAATTCCAAATTAATTCTTGATCAATACTAATTAAATAATATGATTCCTCAATTAATATATTATACTTATAATATATCAATAAATCATAAATAACCTCTTTCTCAAATATCCATCCTATCAGATTGTTCTTGTGAATGCAACCCAAAATGGACCATGCTACTCTCGGGTCAAGTACATACTAATTATAGTTATGGGCTTAGACACCTAATCCAACAATATGTTGGTATATGTTATGTGTTTATTTTACATGATTATGTGGTAATGATAGCTTTGGCTTTATGTAGTTTAAGTTGGATAGCCTGAGAACTCTTGGTCTAATGCCTTACTTTGATGTTCTTGTCTGATTGTTCGTTCTCGAATCATCTGTTCAACTGTTTATCTGATTTCTAACTCCATATGACTTTATGTAATGTTTGAAAAACCAGGATTTAGACCCTGACAATCGCATGAAAGACTATGGGAGGACCATGACATTTGTATGAAAGACCATGGGAGACCATGACACTTGTATAAAAGATATGGGAGGACCATGGCAGGAAGACCATGGGAGGACATTGGCCACTGTACGTAAGACTATGGGAAGATCATAATAATTAAGAATGCAACAATGAGTGATTGTAAGACCGTGGGAGGACCATAGCATTCACACGTTTCGTGCTGATATGAATATTGTATGTATGTTGATAGGTTGGCGCTAGAGTCGAAGACTTTATGTGGATGCAGTGTATATATGATGGAATATGTGGTATATTGGGGAACTCACTAAGCTTTATGTTTAAAGTTATGGATTAAATGTTTTGCAAGTTGTTCGTGAGAAGATTTTGGCGGGACTGTACACACGTATCGAAGATATTGATTTTCGATGTTACCATAATTCAACTCTGTCAACGTAATGGTTTTCAACACTTGAATGTCACTATTTGTTTTCAAGCAAAATATTTTTAATTGGTTAACCTATTTTAAAAATGAAAAATCACTCTGTAATTTTTGGGGCGTTACAGAGGGGTTTTGTCAGTATTTCCTGGGTGTATTTGCAACCAACCATTCCGTCGAAAATTCGCCACTAATTGCGTCGAAAATCCGTCAACAGCGTTGGCCCGCACCCCGCAAGGGAGCCCCCCCAGACCCCGTCAGGGGTGATGCCCGTCAAAACCCCACCAGGGGAGTTGTCCCAAACCTCATGTTCCCAAATCCTCATTAGTTATCCGAGTGTGCACTTCACATCTCCTATCTCGGAATATAAAAATGAACTTAGCTTGTCTTGAAGATAATCATTAATACATTAGATGTATTGATAACACTAAAATCACTGACATTAACCATGGTCGATAAAAAAAAGTTAACAAACATAAGTTAAAATGATTCAATCCAAGTACAACTCTTAATTATTTCTTGTATCTAGGCCTTTTTGAACATTTTTACAACGTGTATTACATGTGGCAAATATCTAACTATCTCCTAAAATAGATATTATCAGCCGTATAAAAATTGCCTATCCTCAACGTGGTCTTTGACAAGGATGGATCTCTAGGACCACATTATAAATTAAATAGAATAGAAAGCATGGTCAGGGCGAAGAAGAAACAATGGATATATATATATATATATATATAGATATATATATATATATATATATATATATATATATATATATATATATATATATACTAGGTTACAACCCGTGGAAACTACGGGTAAAATATTTATAAAATTTTACTAAACGAATAAAATATAAGTTTTATTTAGATTTTTATATTGAAATTACATGTTTACTAACTTCAGATAATCATTTGTGTATTGGCTCTAGGCTTGAATTTTGATACGTTCTAATGTTGTATACTTTATATTATCACACTTTGAGCTTCCCTTAGTTTATGTTTGTTTCCAAAACAAAAAAACAACACATATAAATTATAGAATGAAAAGCAAGTTCATGCTTGATAACTTAGTTTTAACGAAATATATATTAGCAAAAAGGGATACATATATAACCCCCACCCCTAATCACCCTAAAAAGGTATCAGATTATTGTGCTCTAATAGAGGAATAATTAAAAAGCCATTTTTCCCAAAACTAATGGATTATATTTTATTAACAGAAGAAGTAACACATTTATACCTATATGAAAATTTCCTATTGTATTAAAAACTAATTAAAGACTACCACTCCTTGCCTCATGGCAAACCTCTATTCTTGCCTTTTGATTTTTTAAAGGATGAGTTTCTTGTCCTCTTTGGTGAGTTGTTGCGTATTTTTTAACAGAATTAGAAACTAAGATATTTGTCACTAATTCACAGTAGTAGAGAGGATCCCTCTTTAAGATCAAACTACAAAAAAAATGAATATCATCCATAATCACATCAGAACCCTCTTACATTGGTGTAGAAGCATCCTACATGCACCGGCAAACCTGTTAAGTAATCAGGCTAAATATTATTTCAAGTAAAAAGTCACATCAATGAGAAAATAAGATATGATCATCATCTCATTATGAAATTTTATAGGGATGAAACTTTCTAACATTTTTTCTTCTTTTTGTGATGTGATGATATTCTTGCATATGATTATCAACAACAGTGTAACACCTCAGTAGCACTTATTTTGGCAAAAACACTTGTAAAGTATGATATTGTAATATGAAAAAATATAAAGAAAAAAAGTTTCATTCCAATCACACCCACACTCACCCACTTAGATGATTCCTTCTAAATACAAATATTTAACATAAACCAATTTTGAACGGGAAGCTAGATGGTGGGTCTTCCCTCCCACCTACTTCACATTTTTCAAGATAATCATGAGACAATGTGATTATATGAGAGTTTATTTGCAAATAAACCAAGTTGTGTGCTCAAATCTTGAAAAAAAACATCCATACCTATAGCAATTTTGACTTGTCCGAGTGATACATAGCATACCCTGCCATTCCATCTGCAATGATGACCTACATGTAAAACGTGCTACATTTGATCGAGCATAAACTCAATAGAACTCTTTTAGATGACATTATAAAGGAAATTTATACGAAACGATGACAGTGGGTTTGACATCATCTCATACTGAAGCATGAAACGCAAACATTGATCCTCAATTATAGGAAATCCTCAAAACATAATCTCTAAAAACCCAAACCAAAAATAAGACCAAAAGGATGTAAGTTTATGCTTTAACCCCTTTTCCATAACATCGTGATCCTCTTGGAACGTTCATTAGACACCTGTCAGACATCATCAAACAAACAACTACATTAACAAATCAAGACTAAAGACCGTGATCTATGTCATGACCTAAATGGTAAAAAAAAAAGAGGACCCAGTAAAAACAATATGCTACGAACCTGCAGCAATAAAAGGGAAAACTCTAAAAAATAGGTGGTTTGAGTTGAAGTTTTTCGAAAAAAAAAAATGAATAAAACCAAAGAAACGACTTACTTTAAGATCATGAACACGACGAAAAGGCAAAATGAGGAATCAAAATCGTAACAGAAGAAAAATTAATACCTTGATGGTTTGACAATGCCACTAATGGACTGAAGAAAATTTACTTTTCTCTTCTTGGAAGAAACAATCTCAATTGAACCGAGTGCCCTGTAACGAATTAAACACCATGGACATAAGAATCCACTATTTTCTAGTAGTTTATGATCGATGAAAGTTGGGAGAAATCAAATGAGAATCATACCTCCATTGAATTGAAGGTGATCGATGTCTCGTAAGCACTAGCCTCGGTTAATTAGGGTTTGAATAAAAAGCTCCGAGGAAGACGAAGATGAAGAACTTCCTATCCAGGTGTTTGAGAGATCGAGAGAAAGAGAAAGAAAATATGTGTGTGATTTCTTGCATTTCTGTCCCTGATTATGTGCGATCATGGTTTTGAAAAATGAAAAAGATAAATTGGGATTAGGTTTCTATGAACGGAAAAAATTTGAGTGTAAATAATGGAGTTTGGGTGATTTGATTTTCAATGCTCAAATATAGTTGGGTGATTTGATTTTCGATAAATTTGGAATGGATTACCTTAATAATGTTAATTTAGTCGAGATTTTCGGTGAGGAGCACCCTGATTTATCGTTCCTGATTCCTGAATGCCAAGAAGCAGCGGGGAAACGGAATGTAGAGTTAAGGAGGGCAAATTCGGAAGTTCACTTTGAAATTTTTTGGGTGAAAATACGCCACATGGCAAAAAAAAGTTTCTTTTATTAAAGAGGTAGATATGTACCTACCTACGTAGGTGCATTACAAGGATGGAAAGTAGCCATCGATCTTTGTTAGTGGTCAATGTAAAAATATCTATAGTAAAATTGCATCATTCAGATTTGTAACATTTAATTAACAAACATTTATTAAAATGATTTCATAACCGTAAACACATTAATTCTATAGTTCACTCTTTAATTAAAAAGCTGTTCTCAGACACATTGGGCACAAAAAAAAAAAGATATCAAACTCATGCTGCAATACCTTTTCTATAAACGTGGTATCCCATTGATAATTAATGTCACATTGATTATCAACTTTCCAGCCTCTTAAACGTTCATCCATGTCTAAAGGGCCCCGTTATAGTAACATGTGACCACAACGACAGGACAACCACCAGCCGTTCATGTGTTCCATTGTTCACCATGCGATTAATTTGCTTATTACTCAAAGATTGCAGATGGCCAAAAAAGGCAAGTGACATGATATGCATGTCGTTGGCCTTTTTTACTTCACGTGATGCAACACAGGTGGTCCTAACATTGTTCCATGTAAATCCTACTCAAATCTATAGATTTTTGTTATATGACGTGGATAAAAGACACTAAGTTTACACAAAATTTCTAATTTGACATTGTGTTTTTCAATTTTTTATAATATATTTAAGGGTAAATAGCATAAAAGACACTAAATTTACACAAAATTTCTAATTTGACATTGTGTTTTTTCAATTTTTTATAATTCTGATCACTTGACCGGTCAAGCGGGTTACCTGCTGACGTGGCATGATGACATGCCAATTTTGATAACGTGGTATGCTGACATGACATGCTGACGTATCAAAATTGAATTTTTTTCCCACAAAAGACACTAAGTTTTCATTTTTTTCGATTTTGACATTAAGTTTATTTTTTTTTCAATTTTGACATTCTCTTTTTTTGTTCCAGCTAAAACATCATTTTATTCAATTTTGTTCAATGTTGATTAATTTTTCATTTGAAACCGTAAAAATATATTTTTATTACATTTTAAACCGTATAAATATATATATTTTTTCTATTTAAAAACCACATTTTTATATAAATACACGGTTTTTTTTTTACATTCAAAGCATAATGTTATACATAAATATGCATTAATTATATCACGAGAACAAAACTAACCATAAGCTTCAAATAAGATGTAAAAATTTCACGGGTTGCAAACCTAACCTCTGGCTTGATCGACTACACGCCTCCAAACCTACAAACTCATTTTAAATTGCATATTTAATATAAAATATGGTTTTTGTATAACTAATACATATTTATACATAAAATTACGGTTATGGTTTGAAAGTAATTAAAAAAAAAAACCATGGCGGTTGCACCTAATTAATCATATATCGGCCCAAATTTGTTGTTTCACTTATTACTTTGACTATTATTAAATAATTTTTTCTGTACTGTTATATGCTATATAAATGTACGTTGCACGTAATTTGGCTTCCATTCTGGATAATCATATTAGTATTGTTTCTTTATCTTAAAAGATGATCACAGTAATATGACATGCATGGCAAGTTACTGATCAATATGTGTAGAAGTACGTTTAAGCAGAACTTTGATAGAATAATATTTATTATCCGTGAAATACAATATAAATGCTTATATAGATAAAAAAGATAAAAGATGGAAATCGGAGATAATACTCTGGATTATTATTTTTTTTAAAAGAAAAAAATAAAAATCAATTACTTGCAACACTTCTCTCGCTAACAATAACTGGAAGCCCATTCTTCACAGTGGCCGTTAACGCCGGTTCAAACTGAAGCTCACCATCCGAGTTTACAAGTCTAAAGCTAAAGCGAGGTAACAAACATAGTACCACCGTTTTCATTTCCATCAATGCCATTTCCTTCCCCAAACAAGCCCTTAACCCGGCTTGAAAAACTGGGTACTTAAATGGACTTTCTTGATTGAAGATCCCACCCTTCAACCACCTTTCCGGTTTAAACTCCTTGCAATCCTTGCCCCATATGGTTTCCATCCGACCCATTGCATATGGATGGAATGTGACCCTCGTTCCCTTTTTAACCAGGGTTCCATCGGGTAATTTATCGTCTTCAACTGCGAATTTGGAGTCAAACTGAATCGGGGGGTAGAGTCGCATGCTTTCGTATATTGCAGCGTGAAGATAGTCCAGCTTTTTCACTTGTTCGAACGTTGCAAATTCTTGATTCTCATTCATCAGTTGATCAAGTTCAAGCCTTATTTTGGACTCGACTTCTCGGTGGTTTAAGATTAGCCAAAAGAAACTTGTTAAGGCTGAGGCAACTGTATCTCGTCCTGCAAGAACGAAGATTATGATCACATCTCTAAGAAAGGTGTGGTCGTCGGATACCACCATGAATCTTGACAAAAGGTCCTGGTTCTTTGTAAACCCAACTTTCTTCTTTTGATGAATGACTTGCTCTATAAGAAAGTTAACATTTTGAACTGCTTCTTTGAGCTTTCTCTCCGATCCCATATTCAATATCCTATTCGCCTTCCATATCAGTGGAGAAGCAGACAAAGCTCTCGTAGCCGACAATGTTGTGGCTAGATCAAACGAATCAGAGAATTGAGAAATATGAAAAGGTAATTCGGGTGAATTTAGATCTAAACCCAACGAAAATCTACAAATATATTCAAAGGAAAATTGTCTAAAGACATATTGTAAATCCACTAAACCTCCATCTGTTTCTCTAGCAGCCGAAGATAGCAACGGGAGAAGTCGACTTTGAACGTGGTAACAGACATCAGCGAAGGCATTCGACACATTTCCGAGCTCCAAACTTGCCATCTTTCTCTGAAATAACCATGAATCACCATCGACATTAAATATGCCGTTGCCAAGAAGATCGCTAAGAATCATGGAGAACTGTTTCCCTTTTGGGTAATTATGGAACTTGGTTTTGAGAATGTGTTCAATATTGGTAGGGTTAGCAGTGATGGTGTTACGTAGCACATGAATACGGATTGTTTGAGATGGGGACTTTTGGAGAAGATGAGTGTACCAATCGCATAGATTGTTATAGTTTGTTGACCATTGAGATTTGAGGTAGCAATGGCAGATATCGCATGTGCAGTAAAGTTGCCTTTTCAAAAGGATTAGGAACAAGAGAGTTATGAGAGCTAGTGCAAGAAATGTCAAAAGTGACTCCATTTGTGCGTTGTGCAGAGGGAGATCATAAGTTTTCGCTCTATATTTTATTGTGTGGAGAGAGAGAGAGAGAGAGAGAGAGAGAGAGAGAGAGAGAGAGAGAGAGAGAGAGAGAGAGAGAGAGAGAGAGACAATAGAACAAAAATGACAGAAACAGTCCCTACAGTATCGTGGAAATAACAACTTCATTCAACTTTTCAGTTGATCTCCACCAAACATATGATTTATCCTAAAATGCCCTTTTTTAACTTATCAAAAGTCAAAACTATTCACCGTCAATGTTGTTTTCATTGATTACAGTTTTGTGTCTAGGTCTCGTTTAGGACAATAGAAGATTTAAAACGTTTTAACAAAATTAGTTGGAAACTATAATTTTTTAATGTATAACAAATTATTGAAATATATACATTACATGATATTTGTATAAAAAAATAAAAGTGAAATACAAGTGTATTCTAGTAAATTGGTTATAAATAATAATTGATGTAGCTTATGGTTGTAATCCAGAACGAAGCTTTTTCATTTATTGGAACTTTTTCTTAAAGGCTTGTAAATTTAAGCTCTCATAAGTCGTTGCTGAACAAGCCCCTAAACAAATTCGCTACTACTTATTATTTCTTTAAATTTGTGACTTGGGAAGCAAAGGTTGTATGGAAAACATTAGAAATATATAGTAAGTGTTAGAAATATGGTTTAGTGGGACTTGAAAATCTGAAAATCGTGATAATCACTTTCAAATCGAAGTATTTGGGTGGTACTCCCAAATCCTCAATTAGATAAGACTTAGAGAAAATAAGAGAGAAAGAAAGAGAATGAGATGGTGTAATTTCGTGAGTACCAGAAAACTGACTAAAAATTGGTTATAAACCTTCCTTGTCTGAAAAACTGTCAAAACTGTCATATAACAGTTTTTCTCAACAGTCAAAACTGTCATAAATCCGGGTTTTGTATAAGGATTAATGCAAAGTAAAAAAAAACGGGTCAAATATTCAAAATTTGGATTTTCTGATGCATTTTTAATACAGCTCGACCCCAGCCACGGGCTCTGCCCCTTGGACCCCGCCAGGGGCTGCCGCCCCTTGGACCCCGCTCCCAGGGGCGCTGCCCCCGGACCCCCGTTCGTTCAGGGGCTTCGCCCCTAAATGACAGTATACTTTGATACTTGATCAAACTTAAACAAGTGTGTACTCCACACCTTCCTTACTTGTTTAATATTTATCAAGATCATTTTTAGTCAACAAAGTAATCCCATTACACTTAAATAACATTGATGATAACAAAATCACCAACAAACCTCCCCCATTTAAGTGTAATCTTGATTAACTTAAAATGAAACATAACACCAACAAAACTGATGCATAAATGAAATGTCGTGACGATTGAATTTCACATTAGTATATTATATAATCCAAATATTCGAATATTAGGGTGTCACTAAGGATTGAACCCTTTCTATCCATAGTGAATACATGAAGATAATACACACAACAGTTTACATTCTCATAAGTTCTAACTTGACACTATATTTTACTAGCTTGTGTCCCATCCTTCAATAAGCATATCAAAGCCAAATCCTAACTTCTTGAAGCAGCTAAACTTCATGCTTATATATGTAGTTCTTTTATTCTTGCACCTGCAAATGCAATTTTTCAAAAGAACTATTAAGAATATAAATTCAACCTCCTTAACTTGTAGTACTGAACACATACCTTGGGATGATGATAATAATGTGTTCAAATCTTCAAATACCAAGCTTTCCACATTGAATTCAACATCTAATATCACATTAGATGGGAATTGGGTATCTCAATATAAAAAAATTTAAGTGGACTTTAAACCCATCCCTACAGCCGCCTTGTGCACAAGATCTCTTGCTAAGCCTTTTGTTAGATGATCGGCTAAATTAAATTGAGTTCTTACAAACTCCACAAATATCACACCAGTCATGATGAGCTCACGAATCATGCTATGTCTAACACCTAAATGTCCAGATTTCCCATTGTACACTTGACTATGAGCCTTAGTCAAGGTAGTAGCACTATCACATCTGATAGAAATGGTAGATATCGGTTTAGGCCATAATGGAATTTCATAAATCAAATTCCTTAGCCACTCAGCTTCTTTACCAGCAGCAGACAATGCTACAAACTCAGACTCCATAGTTGAGTTAGTAATACAAGTCTGTTTCTTGGATGCCCAAGAAATGGCTCCTCCTCCAAGAAGAAATACCCAACCACTTGTAGAAGAGTGATCTTCTAAGTTGGTAATCCAACTGTCATCTGAATAACCTTCCAAAACAGAAGGATATCCACTATAAGTCAAACCAAAATCCTTGGTTCCTTTCAAATACTTGAATACTCTATTCACTGTTTGCCAATGATGTGAATTAGGATTACTAGTATATCTACTAAGCCTTCCCACAGCATATGCTATATCATGTCTAGTACTAATCATGGCATACATTAGACAACCAATAGCCCGTGAGTATTCAAGTTGAGACACTGGAGATCCTTTATTAGGTAGAAGCTTAAGATTAGGATCTATAGGAGTGCTAACAGGAGAACAATTCTCAAAGTTAAATTTTTTTAATATCTTCTCAATGTAATGAGATTGAGAAATTAAAATCCCATTGCTTCCTTTTCTAATTCTTATACCAAGAATTACCTCAGCCTCCCCCATGTCTTTCATATCAAAACTAGATGATAAGAATTTCTTGGTTTTATCAACTTCACATTGATCAGTACCAAAGATTAACATATCATCAACATATAGACAAATTATAACTCCTCTACCAGAAGAATCAAATTTGCTATATACACATTTGTCAGCTTGGTTTAATGCAAAACCATTAGACAATATCACATCATCAAACTTTTGATGCCATTGTTTTGGTGCTTGTTTCAAACGATATAATGATTTCTTCAACTTGCACACATTATGTTCATTACCAGGCATTACAAACCCTTCAGGTTGTTTCATGTAAATTTCCTCATCCAAGTCACCATTCAAGAATGCAGTTTTCACATCCATTTGGTGAATCACAAGATTATGTATAGCTGCAAGAGCTAACAATAATCTAATTGTGGAAACTCTAGCAACATGAGCATAAGTATCAAAGAAGTCAATGCCTTCCTTTTGCCTAAAGCCTTGGATAACCAATCTGGCTTTATACTTATCAATTGTTCCATCCACCTTCATTTTCCTTTTGAGGATCCACTTACTTCCCAATGCCTTGCAACCAGGAGGTAAATCAGACAATACCCAAGTATTGTTATGCATGATAGAATCAATTTCATCCTGAATTGCTTCTTTCCAGAAATGAACATCCCTACAAGCCATAGCTTCACTAAAAGTCTTTGGATCCTCCTCAATATTAAAACAATATTGATGTTGACATATAGTCTCATTCCTTGTTCCTTCAACTAGATATAGTTGAAAATCAGATCCAAAAGACTTAGCTTTTCTGGCTCTTGTGCTTTTCCTAGGTTCAGGTACAGAAGTTGCATCACCAGAAACATCTTCAGCCTGAGTAGTACTCTTACTGGAAGATTGATGAATCATGTCCCTCGGTCTAGGTATAGATGTAAATCTTTCTTCATCAAAGATAGCATCTCTTGACTCTATCATTGTGTTTACAGACACAGAGTCATTAGATTCTAAAACATAGAATCTATATGCTTTGGAATGCTCATCATATCCAATAAAGATACAATCTACACCTCTCTCACCCAATGTTTTCCTTTTAGGTTCAGTGAGCCTTACAACTGTTCTACAGCCCCAAACTTTGAGATAACTCAAATTTGGTACCTTTTTACACCAAAATTCATAAGGATTATTCTTACTCCTTTTATTTGGAGTTCTATTCAAGATGTAACATGCAGTTAACATTGCCTCACCCCAAAACCCTTCACTTAATCCAGAATATGACAACATGGAATTAACCATTTCTTTCAAAGTCCTATTCTTCCTTTCAGCTACACCATTTTGTTGTGGTGTATAAGGAGCTGTGGTTTGATGTATTATTCCAGTTGATTCAAAATAAACTGGATCATAATACTCACCACCTCTATCAGTACGCAAGACTTTTATTAATTCATTTTTATGAAGTTCAACCTCTTGTTTATAAATCTTAAATTCATCAAGAGCTTCATCTTTAGAATGTAGCAAATAGACATAACAATATCTAGATGCATCATCAATAAAAGTAACAACATGCTTTTTGTTTCCAAGGGAAGGTGTTGCATGGAAATCACATAAATCACTATGTATAAGATCCAACACCTTGCTTTCCCTAACAACATCTTTGAAAGGTTGTCTAGTGATTTTAGTTAGCATGCATGTTTTAAATTTTTCATTATGTTGCATATCAAAAGCAGGACTTAAACTCATTTTAGACATGTCTTTTAATCTCTTGTAATGAATGTGTCCTAGTCTAGCATGCCATAATTCAGATTTCTTAAAATTATTGCTAGTACTACTAGAGGCCATGCAAACAGAATTATCACTAGAAGGATAATTAATATTAAGCCTAATCATTCCATTACATACATAGCCAAATCCTACAAAAGAACCATGTCTTGACAAGATATACTTGTCACTTTCTAACACTTGTTTGTAACCACAATTATTTAATACAATTTCAGACACGAGATTCTTACGAATCCCTGGAACATATAAAACATTGTTTAAACACAAACATTTCCCAGAAGTAAAAGTAAGTAAAACAGATCCTATGCCCTTGATTGGTTCAGTTGCAACATTTCCCATCTTCACAACAGATCCATCTTCAATTGGTTGAAAGTCCTTGAACCAATATAGATGTTTGCAAACATGACTTGTTGCTCCCGAATCAACCCACCATGCAACATTATCATCCTGCACGTAAAATGATTCAGAAATCACAGAAATATAATTCTGAATATATTTAGAATTCTGCATGAAAACAGAAAACTGGCCTTGTTGCTTTTCTGGATCCTTGGATCCACTTGATCCAACACCATCCT